ACTTCAAGTTCCTGTACTCTAATAAACCCAATATACCGTCTTTTATATAAATTGTCACAGTAATATCTCTAGAAAGGAGATTATGCCTGTCTCTGCCAATTATGCCTCTTCACCTATTCTACCACACCACGTCTACATACTCAAGAACTCAAGAATATACAGCAGCAACATACAACTACTTCTCAGACGTCTAGACAGAGTACCACCAGTCTACCTCCCAGGCGCGTCAGACCTTCGCACCTGGTGACGGCTCCAGGATCACGCCACTGCCTGAAACAAGGGTATGGTAGTTAAAGTGAGCCGGTTCGCAGTTATCTACGACATCAGCGCCACCTGGACGGCCGTCTTTCCATTTATATAGAGGTTACCCATCCTTACCCACCAGAATACTTCTGCGTGCTCTACTGCAAGGATCTGTTGGCATACCTCAGTGTGATAGCAGGTTTATGCAGACTAGCTCACAGTATTCCAACACCATTTTATTGTTTGCACTTTAACATAACGTAAGTTTGATTGACTGTTTGTACTGTTCATTTTGCATATTTAACGTAAAGCCACGACTGGATATTATTTTTATTTTCATGTTACTTGTTTAAAGTCATTTTTATTAAGTAAAGTATAAAAATTTTTGTTCTCTCTATGCTTTATCCTACAGTTATCTCAGTGTGAGGTTAAATTGCAGTCAAACTTTTTTTTTTGATGTGACTGGCATTCCATCTGCCCTAGAGAGACTGCGCTAACATACATTTTTCCTGTCATATAAATTGGGGGCCTGCCTTAGGAGCCTCGCTCAAGTCACCTTCTAGACTCTTCACTTAAAGTTTTTTTTTATATTTTTTTTTATTTTTACATGCATAGCATGCAAATTAAATACAATAAAAAACAAGACAAGAACATAGAAAACATAACAAAACAAAACAAGAAACCACCAGCCAGAAGGGCTGACAGCACTGTACAACATATTACAAACACGGTAAATGCACGAGAAATTTAGCATACACCAAGACACAAAAAACAAAACGAAGTCAAACAAGCAAGCACAGTAACAGTACAAAACATCACAAAACAAATCAAACATCACGAGTAACAATATAAAATATAATAAGAAAATCCCAATAAACAACAAAACAAAATAAAAATAACAAACAAGTACAACATGTAATGCAAGCAGAAAACACCAGTGCAAATGTACATCACAGAAACAAGACATGAATAAAAACACTCACACTACACCAACCGCCTCGCAACAAAGGAAAAGGCCCACAATATACAATAATAACAAACTAGCATTTCATGCAATCAAGAAACGAAACATAGTAACATATACAACAAACAAACAAGCACCGGCCTGAAGGACCGGGAACAAAAACACAACATAAAGGACATCATGAAAATAGATACAAGAAAAACTCACAGCACACAACAAGCCAAAAATAAAAACAAAAAACAATAATAAAAATAAAAAACAAAAAAAAAAAAAACAATATAGCAATGCGTAAGTAGAACACACATGGCAAAGTAACAATACAAAAGCAAATACAGGAATAAAAACGCCCTCACCAAAACACCTGCCTCGCAACAAATAAGGGATAGGCACGGGTACAAAAGACAATAGGGCAAACAAAAAGCCATAGGGGCACAGTAACATTGAATCAGCTGACATATTTGCCCAGGAACAAGACCCGGGGGAACTGCACATTGAACGCCTCCCAAATCAGCCAATTTCCCCAAGTGGTCTGCCCCCTCCACCGGGAGCGTCATGTTATCCAGAACCCCGGCAACAAACTCCTGCATACAGGGAACCCAGACGGTGTCACACCAGAGGCGAGTAACCGCCACCCTATGCCATACATCAGGAACCCACCCATCTTGAAAGTCCTCCGGTACTTCAGACCGCAGGAACTCGGCAACCACGTCCTCCAGAGCCTCAAGTCGCAACCCCACAGGAAAGAGCTGGGCAGTGGGCACCACCACAGGGGCACCAGCGGCCACAGGCATACCACCAGACGACCGCAGGGAACCAGGGCGGCGCGCATCCTTCCGTAAAGTCACTACTAGGCCACGCCGAGCACCAGCATCTGCACAATCCCTGGCAGCGGAAGCAACCACACCTCACTGCGGAGAACCCCCTGGCGGGGAAGGAACAGAAGGCACACCCGAGACACGGGCATCAGCACTAGCAGGCACATAAACCTCTGCCACCACCACCCGCAGAGACAATGATGCATCCGGATCCACACCGTCAACACCTGAAGACCCACAGTCGCTGAAGTCCCCAACATCGGCCTAGCCAGTAGACGAATGCCTGGAATGTTTGGGCTCCGGCCGGATGTCATCAGAGCCGGAAGCGGACCCAGAAACTCGAGTACCACTAGCCGGACGAACCGATGCCCAACGCAGAACGGCAGCAGCCTCTACCACAGGGGAAACCGGACCACAAACAGCAGGAGGCTCCACAGCTACCCCAGCACCCAGCACAGGAGGGACCCGAGGTAAGGCCAGGTCCAACGCCGAAGACGAGGAAGCAGATGACGACGCCCCACAGGGAGTACCAGGAAGACCCACAGGAGCAGCAGGGCCAGAGACAGGAGCAAGAGTAACATCCGACGGCACTGCAACATCTGGAGGAGGGCCGGCGACAACCGGGGAAACAACGGGCGACGCTGGGGGATCCTCAGCAGTGAACGGGACGCTCACCTCCTCACCCCCAGAGTCCTCCTCCAGAGGGAGCGACGGGAAATCCTCTTCAAGGAACAAATTCACGGGAGCGACCGGATCAGCAGTACATCCGGCAGCCTGATGCCCCAACAAGCCACACCGGAAACAAGTACAGGGTTGTCGGGCATAAAACACCCGCATGTAGCTCCCTAACAGCCGGACAGATGACGGAATGTCCGACCTCAGTCGCATCCCGAGGGTCCGAAAGTTGGTCTTCACACCCGAATACGTTCCAGACGATAGCGAGTTCATCCGCACACTGACGACGGAGCCGTACCTCTGGAATAAACGCCGGAGGAGAGTCTCAGTAAACTCCATGGGGGCGCCATGGACACTTACATATGTCACAGCACCACTATGGTCCGAAATGGTCACTGACCACTGTTGGATGATTTTGGATTACGTGGTGTCTTGTGGCCACAGTCATTCTCGTAATTGGTTGTTCAATAATCTTTGCTATAGCCTGTGATTTCCACCTTATTCTTGTCCCTATAGGAGATTTCTCATTAAGTCAGCTCACCTCCTTTGGTACCCTAGTAATTTGGTCTGTCTCCGGGTTAAAAAACGCCCACATCTTTGCAACCGGAACGTAAGACAAAGGGCAAAAGTTCCTCTTGCACAGACTATGCTGTTCGGTTGGGACCCCTACAAGCAGTTCTCGTCATTATTTGACACTTCGCACCCCTACGCGTCGGTCAGAGATTATAGTACTTACACATGTAGTGAGTTAACATTTTTTTCCAGAGCACAAAGATTGTTCATTCTGTAAGTACTATCTAGTTTTAGTTGGAAGCCTCTTACCATTGTTCTCGTCATTTAGAGATAAGGTAAGAAATCTCTACATTTTTTGGACTACCTTTGAGACAAGTATCTTTCACCTTTCAAGTAGGATCCCTCTTGGCCCTTAACCTCGTCCTATAGAGTACCGGGTAAAAGATTCCCTACGTCCTTGAAACACAGTTTAATTTTTCGATCTCGGTATCAATTCCAATTCCAATTACTAAAATAATTGTTGTAACCTTGACTATTAAGTTTAAACTGGATAGTTTATGTTACCTATCGTACGTTATGGCTCGTGACTCTACAGCAGCCAACTTTAATTACGTCTAGGGATACGACACAACTGCTGTTCTCAATAGCGAATCACCAGTATAACCCCTTGATAAGTAATGAGCACATAATTAACAATCTTCGTTTAGGACTGAAGAATAGATACACAATATGATAGCTATATATTCAAAACAGTATAATATAAAAACACAGATGGTAAAGTTAACTTATAGAATATATGGAAATATTGTCATGGCACAATATATATAATAGTAACTATGGCACAAAATGAATAATAACTGACTTATCTCCCACATGTTACTCCCCTAGTCCTGTATCAGCTACTGAACTCTCGCTCTGTCGCCACCCACATTCTCACCTCCCGTCTGCCTCATCCCAGGATGAGGGATGGAAACTAAGGACTTTTTAATATTTTAAACTAATTGAACAACCACTTGTTCTCAAAACACATAAGACTGCAAGTTACATATAATAGTTGCTTACAAAATATATAAGTACAATGCCACCTGTTTAATTACAATATATGAACCAATTTCTAACTAAATAAAAGTGACATCTGGAACTCTCAAACTGAACAGGTCCAGCTTTCCCGTATCAATCAGGAAATAGACGTGTGCAAAGGCAACCGCTCTCCTGTCCACTGACGCTGCCAAACCACACGACAATTTACCCAAAACACAATGTGTGTACATATACATGCAATGATAAAATAAAATAATATTTATTTTAAATTTATATACGTATTCTGCTAGGAGTACGTAACACTTCCACCTCCAAGAAAAAAAATGCAATAGATTGAAGATCAATGGCATTTTTTCAAAGTAAAAGGTATGACACTTGAGATTTATGGTATTAATTACACCAAACATGTATAAGTAATAAGAACACATCTCTGGACAAAAATGAAAACACTCCAAATATAGTCTTACAGGAAACTCAGAAATTTCAGTCTTATGACTATGTTCTACATATGTGTCACTGGAGTATGCAAATTTATCTCTCCAAGGTACTATCTCATTTATTTCACTTTGTTTTAGATCATATTTCACACACCTATCTACATTATCATTAGTAGCATGAATAGAATTGTCAATAAAGGTAGCTGCTTTCACACAGTTATCATGGCAATTTTGCTTTTCATATGTTTCTACTATTTCTTCAAGATCAATTTCATTTTTCCATGTGATTCCTTTTTCACATGGTGAATTATCCCAAGACAGACTCGATTTTCCATTACTCCCTTTTTCAGGAGCTGAAATGCTTAATTGAAGCAGGCTGTATGTTGAGTTGAGTTGGGACTTCTCCTGGGTATGCTCTGACACAGACATCTGCTCATCACTCTTGATCCTCTGTGGAACACAGACTCTCGCCCAATGGATACTAAAATTAGAGAAATCAGCATTAAACCTCACAATTATGCATAAGATTTTCCCATTCATAGAACCTTCCGAAACACAAGACACCGACTTAGCAAACCTTTGACCTTCCAACCAAGAAATACAACCCAAGATAAGTGCAAAGACTACCTGATCGAACTGCCTCAGATGATCCATAAGGAACACAGAAATCAATTGCCTCATAACTCTGTCATAACGATCAGTGAAAGAAAACAGGCATATGCCTAGGCACCATATCTCAATCATAACTCTCAAGACAAGTTCACACCCTCTGATGGTGAACTTGAACACAACACACACATTCATCAACCGTCTAGTCTTCCAAGAGATTAAATAAAACATGCCGAAAACATTACAATCCTCACCATCACTTCCCAAGTGATTTACGTCTGATGACAACCAATCAACCAAGAGGTTTAAGGGTCTTAACATCTTGAAGATGAACAGCAGATTACCTGGGAAACGCCCAAGGACAATCTGAAACCCTTCACAATGATTAACTCTAGGTAGGATAACCTTATCCCCCAACTTGAATTGCACACCTGGAGCCTCAAACATCTGCTCCCCAGTATGATTTAATCCTTCACCCACAATATGACTCTGAAAGTCAACACCACACTTGAGTGGAACATACACTTTTATCACTCGTGCATCAAAATTTACTGGATCTGAATATAGAGACACTGCTCTAGCATAACTCACCACTTCCTCAGAACTGGATGCACAACCTACTTGAGTAAACTCTCTCTGCTCAACCACAAGGCTTGACAAAGATGTCCCACAGTCCATTACTTCACAAGAAAATGGCTCCTGCAGAATAAAAGTAGATTTCAACATCCTACACACACTCTGACTCAATGTACACAATGAGAAATACTTACTCCACATAGAATAAGAATCACAACTCTGCAACTTAGATCCAATTGCTACTTTACCACTCTTAATGATCTTACCAAAATTTCCTCCCATGACTTCTGGAGCTGCTTGGAGTACTGTCTGCTCACAATCAACAATATCACTACCAAGCTGGGTCACATCCTCACAGACAACTGAAGAGGGAGGCTCAATGGGTCTCCATCTACTCAACAGAAGCTGATCCTCTGGCTGCTTTCCCACACTCTCCAAAACTGGATCTACAGTACAGACTGTCTCCTTGCTTCTCTCTGAAATCTTAGGGTCAGTTCTACTCAAAGCACATAAATGAAGGGAATCTGAAGCAAGCGGGCAAGTAACAGGTAGTTTGACCTCCTCCCCTATTATATCACCTTGACTAGGGTGAGGCGGGGCCTCTACAACGGACTTACTCTCGACAACTGATTCTAAACTTGGAGTGAGCGGGAATACTTCTGCCAACCCGACATCTTGTCCTAAACCATTCACTTGGCTGGAATACAGAGTCGTGGCTTTTAAGTTTCTCTCAACTCCTGGCACAACGTTCGTAGTGAGCGGGCAAGACAATGGTACATGGACATCCTTTCCCAATTTATTGGAATAAAGCAGAGTCATAGTATCAGGCTTACTCTCAACAACTAAATCGGCCACACAGGAATCTGGAACAACCACATCCCACTTCTCCACTGAAGGGGTACTGGTTACTGGAACAAATGCTTGAGTAACAACATCAGAACTGACAACTGGATTTATATTAGTACTGACATCAGCACAGGTAGAATGGACAAAACCATCTTCTACAACAGGTTCATTCATAGAACTAACTTCAGCACAGGCAGAATAAACATGGTCTGCAACTGGTTGTTTACACAAACGGGGATCAATCTCACCCACAACATGATTTATGGCCACATCATTACCCAATATAACATCCACACCTGGGATGGGCAACTGTGTACTAACACCCACAGTGCATAAACGTGGTGTAATGGTGGATCTGAAATTAATGTCTATTAGAGGTACAGTTTTACATCCTGCAACACTCTGAAGAACAACAAACTTTCCTGTCTCTCTCTTTTCCACATCAGAAAGAATACTGGATGAAATTATGGTTTGGGAAGCACCTGTATCACGAAGAATAACCACTGGCTTCCACTTCCCATTAATACACAAGACTTCACCTGAAGACATATATGGTGAATACTGTTTCACCCAATTGGGGTTTACAGTTACATGTTTATTAGTAAGTTTATTTTGCACACCTCTGCAATAAATGAGACCAGTTGGTCGTAACTCAGGGTGCAATATAAAACATGAATGAATTCCATGGCCTTTTCTCTTACAATGGGAACAGGACCTTACAGTGGACACACTGGTAGAACCAACTGTAGGTTTAGAAATAACCTTATTATTATTTGACATTCCTGACAATGTAGTAGCAGGGTTAGATTTTGTAAGAGAAGAGCTCATGGGAGTAACTGGAGTACTAGGACTGGATGGATTCTGATAAGGAGTTCGGTGAGCATTATAATTTACTCTACTAGACTTAGGTGAAGTGGCCGTAAACGGGGCCTTAGTCAACAACTCATGCTCATCCGCGAGCTTTGACAGCTCATCAATGTCTGTTACATTCTTTTGTTCTGCCATAAAAGTAGACAACTGGTCTGGGAGACATGACAATACTTCTTCCATTATAAGAAGATTCTTTAGAGCATCAAAATCAGTGACTGGAAGTGACTTTAACCATCTGTTACAAAATTTCGTCTTCTGACGAGTAAAATCTGCTATTGTCTGATCACTTGTCCTCCTTAGATTTCTGAACTTTTGCCTGTGTGCCTCTGGATTTAGTTGATAAGCATTTAAGATGCTTTTCTTTACAAAGTCATAATCAAAACTATGAGCGTCAGGTAGGGTTGTGAAAACCTCCTGACTACGCCCCTTGAATTGAGACTGCATAATGGCTACCCACTGATCCCTTGGCCAGTTCATACTGATGGCAATTTTATAAAAATGTGCAAAGAAAACCTCAGGATCCTCCTCATTGAACTTGGGTAACTCTATATACTTATTCATCCTGATGGGATTATTATCACTATTTATTGAAACATTACTAGTATTTCCATGTCCAGCTGCCATACGCTGTGATTCAAGCCTGAAGTTAGTGTCAGCCATTTGTTGTTGAATTTCTAATTGCCTAGTTTGTTCCTCGGCTTGTTGCTTCTTTGTGGCTTCAAGTTGCAACTCAATTAAACCTCTCTGGTTTTGTGCCGCAATTTCTAAACGCCTAGTCTCTAGCTCCCTTTGCTGAGCTTCAGCCTCTAATATTTGCTGTTGCTGTTGAGCTTCAAGCTCTAATTGGCGAGCTTCTAACTCAAGACGCTTTAACGTCATCTGATCACTCGACTCCTCTCTTAACTCCTCTAGAATTTCTTCACCTAACTCCCCATTCTCAACAAAATGCGTCACAATGACTTTCAATATTTGGGCTTTAACCATTCTATTGCTGGCGGTCAAATCCAAATGATTTGCCATTTGTATTAACTCAGTCTTTTTAAGGTTCTGAATCCCTTCAAAGTCTGGGTGAGCCACCAACGCTGCAACTTTCTCCTCCATCGTTACTAACACTTGGCACTTGATTCACAAAAATAATTAAAATAATGGCACTGCACTACACTTCACTGTAAAATTGTCACCACACTGAAAATTCGCTTGGCCTCACTGCACAAACAAAATATATAGGATGACTTACCTCAAAATCGTGAAACGTTGTTACTTGACACACAGGAAGGCTTACTTGGCACATGGAATAGTTCTTAAGAAACACACAGAGACACTTGACACACTGGTACCTAGGAAGGCAAGGTTAGATTAGCATAGTTAAGTTAAAGTGGGACAATATTTCCCGGCACAGGCCCCCATAACTCTTTGTTACCTACCGTACGTTATGGCTCGTGACTCTACAGCAGCCAACTTTAATTACGTCTAGGGATACGACACAACTGCTGTTCTCAATAGCGAATCACCAGTATAACCCCTTGATAAGTAATGAGCACATAATTAACAATCTTCGTTTAGGACTGAAGAATAGATACACAATATGATAGCTATATATTCAAAACAGTATAATATAAAAACACAGATGGTAAAGTTAACTTATAGAATATATGGAAATATTGTCATGGCACAATATATATAATAGTAACTATGGCACAAAATGAATAATAACAGACTTATCTCCCACATGTTACTCCCCTAGTCCTGTATCAGCTACTGAACTCTCGCTCTGTCGCCACCCACATTCTCACCTCCCGTCTGCCTCATCCCAGGATGAGGGATGGAAACTAAGGACTTTTTAATATTTTAAACTAATTGAACAACCACTTGTTCTCAAAACACATAAGACTGCAAGTTACATATAATAGTTGCTTACAAAATATATAAGTACAATGCCACCTGTTTAATTACAATATATGAACCAATTTCTAACTAAATAAAAGTGACATCTGGAACTCTCAAACTGAACAGGTCCAGCTTTCCCGTATCAATCAGGAAATAGACTTGTGCAAAGGCAACCGCTCTCCTGTCCACTGACGCTGCCAAACCACACGACAATTTACCCAAAACACAATGTGTGTACATATACATGCAATGATAAAATAAAATAATATTTATTTTAAATTTATATACGTATTCTGCTAGGAGTACGTAACAGTTTACAGTTGCCACGTCATCCTGTCAGTCTGACTTTTCATATTTTGGTACATCAACTGAGGTATTCTCTTTGCATATATTTGCTATCATTCTATTCACCATGTTTCGTCTCTCATCGTTCCGACAGAATCCAAACAATGAAGTGGGCACACTAGTTCGTGCCACCAAGGCAGAGATGCTGACTGTAGGAAATGAGTACAATATTACGGTCCCACATAGTCACTAAAACTGATTTGCATAACCTCATTTTGGACCACTTATTAGACAATGATATTATTACATCTGAGTCTCATGAACAATACTTAATTGCAGATAAGAGTGCCTTGGCAGCCATGAAATTGAAGCTAGAACTCGCTAACGCCGAACGCAAACGTATGAAGGAAGCACTTCAACTGAAGGAACGTGAAGCCACCCTTCAGAGGGAAGCTCTTTAGATCCAGAAAGCCCAAGCTGCCCTACAACGTCAGCGTGAGAAAGAACAAGCTGCCCCTACAACGCGAGCGTGAGAAAAAAGAACTTCAAAGGAAGGACAGGGAAGCTGAAATTCAACTTGAGCTCGCTGAAAAGCAAGCCGCCATCCAGAAATAACAAGCTACTCTTCAGAGGGAGCAAGTTGAATTCCAACGAGAGCGTGAACAGGAAATGCTAGTTAAAAGAACGCAAGCTGGAGATACAACGTGAACACGAGAAGAAACAAGCCAACATGGCTCTAGACCACTATAGAAAAGAGCTGGACTTGGAAACTACACACCATACTCGCCGCCAGCAAGCACTAGCTAACCTTCCGGTACGTTTTTAACCTCTCATGCAATTAAGTTAATGCCATCTTTTGTTGAGGCAAAGGTAGATGTATTTTTTGCTTCATTTGAGTCTCTGGCTACCCAACTTAGCTGGCTTCAGGATCAGTGGTCTGTGCTTCTCATGTCTCGTTTAACAGGTAGATCTGCAGTGACTCAGTACTATGGGGTCCGAAACCGACTACAAGGTATTGAAACAGGCAGTGCTCGATACCTACCTCCTCTCCATCGAGACCTACAGACATAAGTTTAGGGATTACCTTAAAGCAAGTGCTACCACTTATTTAGAGTTTGCAAATAACAAAAAGAGATATTTCATGAAGTGGCTGGAAGCAGCACAAGTCTCCACCTTTACAGATCTCGTCAACATCATCCTGTTGGAAGAATTCCTTAGGCGTGTACCTAATCCCATACGTCTCTACCTAGCCGACAAGGAAGAAACCGACCTAACTAGATGTGCACAGTTGGCTGACTCCTACAGTCTTATTCACAGAGTACCATACGACACACCTTTTAGTAAGACAGCCTGGTCTAGTCCTGCACGTGAGTACCAGCAATGTGAGCTTGTTGTATTGCATATATTGCAGACCCTATGGACATACCATAGAAAAGTGTACTAGGAACAAGGGCACCAGTGAAACTCCTAAACCCAAGTCGACTACTCCTAAACCCAGTATGCCTGTTATGAATATTCTTGTTTCATCCAATGATCTTTCTCTCTTCAACAGACACCTGTATCTCGGAACTGTCTCTGCCAGCAGTGGAGATTCGAAGGAGAGGTTCAAAGTGAAGATGTTGAGGGACACAGCTGCTCTACAATCAATTTTTCTGAAGGCAGCTGTATCCAACGTCACCTACGCCGGAGAAACTGTCCTCATCACGGACCTAACTGCCACTACTCCTTATCCATTTGCCAGAGTCCGCCTGGATTTTCCATTTATACAAGGTGAAGTCCAAGTCGCCATCCAGGAAAAGCCTTTTCCCATGACTGGAGTTCAACTTCTCCTGGCCAACGACTTGGCAGAAGGTCAACAACCTGCGAATCTAATCATCACAGAAAACCCCCAGGTATGTGACTCAGCAGTGGAAAATCCTATCTTGCAGTTTGTTAAGGAAGAGGTCCCAGCAACAAATGATTCAGATGACGTCTCCCCTCCTGTCTTGGTGACGACGCATGCACAAGCCGCACTCCCGCAACCAGCTGCTCCATCTGCTTCAGCTGTCGCTCAAGATTCTCAGAGCCTCCCATCGAATCTTACCGTACTGGAGTTCCGTAAGTTGCAGAGAGAATATCCCTCCTTAACATCCTTATTCTTTCAGGCTGAGACACAATCAGAGAGTATCCCTGGGTTCTTTGTAAAGAACCAAATACTCTACCGTATATATAGACTCAATAGCAGTTCCCGTAAAGAACATTATGGCTGCTATAGTTGTAAAACAGCTTCTGAAGATCTTCGCCCAGTATGGATTTCTGAAGGAGATACAGAGTGATTGCAGTACCAACTTCACCAGTGATCTCGTCAAGAAGGCACTGGAGGAATTCCACATAACTTATGTACTGTCTAGCCCCTGTCATCCTGCTTCACAGGGTTCTCTGGAACTTAGTCATCAGAGTGTAAAGCCTTTCCTAAAGAAATTTTGCATTGAGACAGAAGGACTGGGATAAACAACTTGACCTTATTATGTCTATTTTCAGAAGTCTTCCAAATGAGCCCCTTGGAGTATCTCCTTATGAGATGATCTACGGCCGTAAGTGCCGTAAACCCCCCCCCCCTCTCCTGAAAGCTTTTTAAAGATTCGCTACGCTCCAACTCCTTCAGTGATTCTCTTCATGTGCCCAGTTTCTTCAAAATTTGAGGCACATTCTCAAAAGAGTACATAAATTCACGAGTAGCAATTTATCAGTCTCAAACTAATAGGAAAATTAATTTTGACATGCAAAGTATGATTAGAAAATTTAATGTGGGAGACTTCGTCCTAGCATATTTTCCTATCCCAGGTTCTCCATTCCAAAGCAAGTTCACAGGTCCCTATCGCATCAAGGAATGCAGAAAAAACTACAACTAAGTTCTAGAGACTCCAGATAGGCGGCGGAAGACCCAGCTGTGCCTCATCATCCTCTTGAAGCAGTATAAAGGTACACCTCCCACTGTGTTAATGTCCCTCTCCACCTTCACGGATCCCTACCTTTACAGTGAGACCTTCCTTGCTTTTTCCCCCGAACGCACTGACTCTGAGTCATCAAACTCGGAAATCCTAAAAGATCTTCCATACTATTTTTAGGACCCACACAGTGCTCCTCTCATCCGTCTTCAACCAACATCTTGAGTTGTTCAACGATGATCCCCTGGAGTGTACGATAGTTCAGCACGAAATCAAGCTATTTCCTGGTACGATGCCGATCCGCCAACCCTTTTATCGCATCACCCAACAGAAGAAGGAAGCTATGCTTGCTGAGGTACAGTACATCCTTGATCATGGACTAGCCGCACCTTGCGAGTACCAGTGGGCCTCACCCTGCATCTTGGTGCCAAAACCTCACGGTAAGGTGCGACTCTGTACTGACTTTCGCAAACTAAATGCTGTCACCGTCAAGGACTCCTACCCTTTGCCACGAATCGGCGATATCCTTGACGCTATCGGTAATGCAACTTATCTTTCACAGATTGACTTGTTGAAGGGCTACTACCAAATTAGCCTGACGGAGACGGCTAAGGAGATATCTACCTTCACCATTCCCTTTGGCCTGTTTAGGTATGAATGGCTTCCTTTTGGACTGTGTAATGCCCCGACTACCTTTCAGAGAGCTGTCAACATAGTCATCCAGGTCCTTGACAAAACCTATGCCTACTTGGATGACATCGTTATGGCAACCACCACCTGGGACGAACATCTGCTCCAGCTACAGCGGTTGTTCCCAAAGCTCCTGAAAACGGGCCTTGCCATTAACTTGGGCACATCTACCGTCTCCAAAGGTAAAGTACGCTACCTTGGTCATGTGATAGGCAGTGGGAGCCTAGCCCCCTTAAAAGTTCATCAATATGCCATTCAGCATTACCCACGACCTACCACCATGAAGCAGCTCATGCGCGTCTTAGGTCTAGCGTCGTATTATCGTAGATTCGTGAGCAACTTCAGTTCAGTAGCGACACAACTCATTAACTTGACTTGACCAGTCCTAAGCAACGATATCATTGGACAACTTCACAGTCGGTTGCTTTTGAACAGCTAAAGTGTCTATTGTGCACTAATCCCTTTCTCGCCTCGCCAGATGTTACGAGGCC